AAACTTGTAAAATCAATAGCTAAAAAAAGCTGAAAATAGCAGCTCATATTGGCTAAAAAAGTTGAAACCAGAGGCTAAAAGTCATACCTTTTGCATATCACTTATGATAGTCAATCCTTCTCCTTCATCATTAATGTCCAAATCAGATTTTAAGATTCTCAAAAACCAAGTCCAAGTTTCTCTTCTTTCAGTTCCAACAACAGCCCATGCTATTGGAACATCTGATTATTCTCATCCTTTGCAATAGCAACAAGTAGCTGGCCTTTAGATATTCCCTTCAAAAAGCAACCATCTAACCCAATGCACTTTCTACAACCCTCAATGAATCCTTTTTCAAAGCTGAAAACAAATATAAAAGGAATGAAAGAGTTTTTTTCCATCATCACAATTTGTCACTTTCACCACACAAGTGCTTCCTGGATTTGATTCAAGAAGCATATCTCTGTAGTCATAGATTCTACTAAACTCAACAACATGATCACCCATTATCTTTTTCAACACCATTTTTCTGGCCTTCAAACACACGAACTTACCAACAAACAATCCCATGTCTGTCCTGACCAAATCTTGTATTTCCCATCCCTTTATGCAAGATTGAGAAACAATTCTACTTTTATAGTGCTTGGCAAAAAACTTAGAGTTGCACATTGTGTTAGTATTGGTCCTATAACACTTATGTCTGGGATTGTAGGTTTTTATAATGAAATCAGAAGATTTGAAATCTTTGCTTGCATAAAGTATCCAAGGATAGCCATTAGCTTTGCATTTTACTCTGACCATTCTTTGATCATTGTGGATCTTATCCAGTTGACAACCTCTCTCAATTGCATACTTGCTCAAAGCTTCTCTGAATTTTTTCACATTTTCAAATACCATATTAAGTTGCCACACAACCTTTTTTCCATGTTGGATCATATGAGACCCTCTTGTTCTTCTTTCTTGCCCTTAAAATATCAGATCTTTCAACATCTATTTCCCACTCACTTTCACTTTCAAAACTATCAGCATCAGAACTGTCGTAAAAAGGTTCATCACCTACAAGCTTACCAGTTAAATTTTTCTTGGGTTTATCAATGTCTTCAAAACCAGGATATATGCCAACTTCTCCCAGAAAACACTCAGCAATTTGTTTTTCCTTGGCTCTTTCTTTTTCTTCAAATCCTTCTTAACTATGCTCAGCTCTTCATGAATATCACTCCCATAACCATCCTCGTCACTAGAAAATTCAACATTCTCATCACTTTCAGCATCACTATACACAATAGTTTCTACTTCATCTTCCTCTAAATCTTCATCTTCACTAGAAAACTTAAATTCATCTTCAGCTTCATTTGTGTTTCTGCTGCCATTTTCTATCAGATTTGATTGTTGGACCCCGACAATTTGATCTCTACCATCAATAAGTGTTATTTCTTTACCTAAAGGTGCATTGAGACCTTCACCAGCTTTGTTGGTAGATTCTTTATTAGGTCTATCCACTTCATTGCATGTGGTCTCAAAAGACTCATTGGTCACATGTGCTATTTTGATAAAAACTTCCTCTTTATGGCAGATATAAATGTCCATAGTACCCCCAGCAACCAACAAATTGGCTAAGACCAACAAATCCCTATCTTTAACCAATTCTACCAAATTGTCAACTTGAGCAGCTCTAATATATATTTTTTCTATATTGGTAACCCCAAAATTCCTGCAATAATCATTCACTTCCGGAATAGACAAATGGTCTATATCAACATTGAAGGCATATTATTTTCCCCCCCAATATAAGCAGGTCCTACCTCACTCACAAGTATACCACCGATGTGAAACCTCAAATTTACGTACTTAGTGTCCATTACCTTAGAACAATTGAAATATGCAAAGTTTAATAAGCCAACAATTGTTCATGAAATCAGTAACTAAAAATCGCCACCAGTACGAAAATTAAGTTCAGGAGTAAAGAAAGAGTACCTTATGTAGTCAATTTCTTCTCCTTTCAACTCTTTTCAGATGGTATGAATCAAAACCTAAAAAATTATACAAAATCGTTAATATTTTGAGACAAAAAAAAGAACCCTAACATTTTTTGGCAAATGAGTAACTAACCTTCAAACCATGATGAATTTGTGAATTAATAGTGAAAACCCTAATTTTACTCAAAATTTTCACACACCAAAGAGACTAAGCTGAGAAACAGAGAAAGATGCTTCTACACATTGAAGGCTAAACTTTAATCTTTTGACATGGTGGAATTTGTTTCCATGTGGCAATCTATGTGGCATTTTAAAAAAAATTGAGAGAGTGCAATACACACTATCATATTTTACTTGAGGTGTGTTTTTCAAACTAAAGTGTAATAGTTTAGGTGTGTTTCTCACACTTTCGATAGTTCGGGTATGAAACTCAGAAAAAGGTATAGTTTAGGTGTGTTTTAACCACTTATCTCTTTAAAATTTGAGGTAATAATATATTAATGGACTTCAAAGTTAACCTCAGAAAATAAATGGACATAAACAATTTTCCATTTGATTTTAAAAAATATATTATTTTTTTTAAAAAAAAAGAAGGAATTCAATGTGATTTGCCTTTGACACTAAGAGGCTAACAATTATGTTTTTATATTTTTCATTTTATATTTATGATATTAGTTTATTTTGGTACGTTAAAAAGGGAAAATATAACTCATAAATGTATTACCTAACTAAGACTAAGTAATGATATTGAACTTGCTATACTAAATTATCAGATCAAAATAGTAAAACTTGAAATTTTGAATCTATTATTTCAGTACTTATAAAATTGTGGTATTTGGTATAATATATGGTATAAAAAAGTTGAAATACTTATTATCATTTCAAAATGCATACTTATATACGCAATACCAGTGTTTTAAAAGACGGGGACGTGAGGCGGGGCTTTTTACTTAGTATAGGGCGAGGCGTAAGCCTTGAGACGTGGGGCGTAGGCCCTATGGATCTTTAAATTTTTAATTTAGAATATAGTATAATAATATAATAACACAAAATTATAAAAATACATCAATAGTTTGAAATAATTACAAACATGATTAAAGAAACTCATAGAAAATAAAACTTCTAACATGATCATACAAGTATAAATAATCTAACATCCTAACTTTCTAATTTTTCCATAAAAGAATCATTATTTCTAAAAAAAAATATTTCTGTCATACTATACAATTTACCCCCTAAAAGAAAATAATCAATAAAACTTACTAGTATTATAATAAAAAGGGATAAGGGTCAGAAAAATACCCCAACTTTGGTCGAATTTGCTGTTGCGATACTAAACTTTCATGAGGACCTATTACCTCCCTAGACTATTCAAACCCATATCCCTAATAGAAACATCACTCCATCATGAATGTAAATAAAATTACTTTCAAATAGCTAAATAAAATATGATAATTTTGAGACACATGACAAAACCATGAAGACCAATCATCAGTGAAAAAATAAAATTTTGCTACGTATTTTTAAAAGAAATATTACGTAATATATAATCACCTTCACAGTGTTACAAAATAGTAAAGATGCGATACTACAACTTGTTATTTGAGTTACTCTAAATCTTCTTATCTCTATAGATTAAAATATTTATCAAGTTTCATTTATTTATTCAATAATTATAAGGGTCAACAATGTTAACTAAAGATTTTAATACATAATTTGTGCAAGATCTATTAGGCGAGCACCAAACGTTGGGCGTGCTTAGGGCGTACAGTCGGGCCCTTGGGGAGTAAGTCTTATAGAACTAAGCTCCAGTGGCGGATCCAGGATTTAAAGGTTGTGGGTGCTCACCTCCTTTAACATAAACTTGTTAGCAATCACATAGTGTAAACGTATACTAACTCAAACTACTTTAATAAAAAAAAAAGTAAAAAAAATAAAACAACGATTAATATTATCATCATACAAAAACAACCTCTAGTTATAAGTCACAATGACCTACTAGTAATATTATCATTACAAAAAGAGACTTCTAGTCTTAAAGTCATAATTGTGCTCGACGACTTTTCATATGTTGAAAACGATAAATAATAGCATCATTGCTTATATTTGCAAATATCTTACTCTTTACATAGCAAACTAAACAACCATTCAAAAATTCATCACCAATACTATTACGAAGTTCATTTTTAATGTACTTCATGGATGAGAAAGCTCGTTCCACAGAAACAATAGCAACGGAAAGAATGAGAGTCAACTTGATAAGCAAATAAACAAGTGGCCAAGTTTGATGCAGATCTGACTTGACCAATACTTTAGCAAGATCACTAATTTCCTTCAAGTTGAAGAACCTCTTGTCATAACCACGAGCATAAACTATAAAGCTATCAAGCTGAAAACTGAGATCCCGAAGCTTGTTGCTGTCAAACTCATTCATATAATATTCAGTCAACCTCATTATCTTGCCCTTATCAAAACTACCAAATGAATTAACTGGATTCAAACTAGCCATACCGAAGAAGTAAGTCAGTACTCACAGCATCAAAACGTATTAAGCTCTTGAAGATGCAAATCAATAACAACATAAAATATTTCAACACGCAAATGATGAGAATATGTAACATCAAGAGCTTTACATTTTGACTTCCCAGGAAAGTAGCTAGCATCCATCTCCGGAATGACTATATCATGTTTATCACAAAAAGAAGAGACATCATCCATTAATGATTCGAATTCATTATCCCTCATATTTTGTAATCTTTGCTTTGTAAGAGCAAGAAATCTCATAGCATTGACAATATCTTGATCCATCCTTTGTAATTAGGAGCTCAATTCATTTGTCATCATAAGAACTTTCTATATCAAGTGCAGCATAAAGGTAAAATCAAATTTCTTAATCGTATCCACAAGAGTTTTAGCAAGAAGTCTATCAGTATAATTTGGACACTCGCATCCAGTAAATTCAAGCACATGAATAACTGATGGAAACAGAACAATAAGATTATCTAATGTTCTATAATGAGAACCCCAACGAGTATCACCTGCCCGCTAAAGCCCACGTTCTTGATTTAATCGTCGCCCAGTATGCACTTCCCCTGATATGAGCAACTCCTCTAACTGTTCAGCTTGGTGTTTCCGAAATAAATCTCTGCGCTTAAAAGATGCTCTAACAATATTTAACACATTAGTAACTAAGCAAAAAAAGTCATCTACATTTGAATCCTTCTTTGCAAGAGCCACTACTAGTGTTAACTGCAATTGGTGGGCAAAACAATGAATGCAATATGCTGATGGAGTCTCATTCAAAATCAAAGTTTTAAGACCATTTAGATGTCCTTTCATATTGCTAGCTCCATCATAAACTTTCCCACGTATTTGGGATGGACTTAATGAGTGATCTGAAAGAAAATAGTAGATTGCTTCCTTTAATGAACAAGCAGATGTATCACTAACATGAATAATACCAACAAATCGCTCTATCACTTCTCCTTCTTTGTTAACATATCTCAAAACAAGTGACATTTGCTCTTTGTGTGATACATCCTTTGATTCATCGACTAGTATCCCAAAATAATCCTCATCTAAATCTTCAAGAATAGATTTGATTGTTTCCTTAGCACAAGAATCAACAATATCCTTTTGAATACTTGGAGAACACATCATTTCATTTTTTGGAGCTTTTTCTAAAATAATGCTTCCAACATCTTCATTAATATTTCCATACCATTGCAAAAGTTCACGAAAAATATCTCTATTTGAAGAAGATCGACTCTCATCATGTCCACAGAATGATAATCCTAATTTCAAGAGAAATCTTGTCACATCAACTGAAGCACTCAAGCGACACCGAGACTCACTTTTTTCTTTCTTGGACTTTTTATCAAAGAAAGTGCGTATTGACTGTGATTGATTCATCAAATCAAGCATCTTGTTGAAACACTTGTTGTGGATGCTATTTATATCTCCAACATGAGCTCTAAATCTTTCAGTAGCTTTGTTCCAAGCTCTAAAGCCGGTCTTTGTGAAAGCAGCATCAACCACATCTCCACGACTTCCACATTCATTTTGAAACAAGTAGCAACACAAACAAAACGCAACATCTTTTGTTATGCTATACTCCAACCACTTACGATCATTAAACCAATCAGGAAAAAACTGATGCATTTCCTTCCCAAACATAGTTTTAGGAAATTTATGATCCTTAGGTTGGCAAGGTTTTTAAGAATATAATATCTCCTAATATCATCACGTATATTAGGATTATATTTTGCAATGGCCTTTCTAATTCCTGGATCAGCTTCAAGAGATTCTAAATCAACATCTGAAATAAATGTTTTCCTTTGAATTTTCGAAGCTATGGTTGAAGCAGTAGATGGATGAGTAGAGCTAGAACTTGGATGCTCAATTTTCGATCTTGTGACATACTTATCCATCTCAATTTACAAAGATAAATTCCTGCAAAAAAATCAATTTTATCATAGAATTAATTCACATAATTCAATTAATTTTATTGAAATCTATAACTTTCTATCAACAACCCATACAACAATTAATATATCTATTTTGATCTTTTCAACACCACAAGCAATAATTAGCAATATATGAGTCAATGAGCACAAAAATTTTAAATTAGCACAATTTGTTATTTGTATACATCCTAAAATTTAATTTTTGAATAAAGTAAGTTGGTAAGAAAAAAATTTATTTCAAAAGTATTCAAAAAATATATTTTTAATCACAAAACACTAAATATGTGAGACTCTAAAGTCTAAATCTATTTATCAAGTAACAAAAAAAGTATGTGGAATCTATTTTAAGAATTAAGACTTAAGAGTACTAGCCATAAGCAATGAAAATCTCAAAACCTAATTCCCCAAACCCTTTTTTCATTATCTAACTTTAATCAAACATCAAATCTTATTACCTTGCTTTTGTATTTTGATTTTCAAAGAAAAAAGCTTGAAGTTTGTTGTTGGGCTAGCTGCTTTCTCTTTGAAACAAGAAGAAGAAGAAGAATGATTTCGTCATTTTGTTAAAAGAAAAAATTCCATAAAAACGGGCAGTGGAAAAGGTTTTAAAGCATAGGAAAAGTTAAAAATAAAAAAGAAACCCTAAACTAATTAATAATAGAAAAAGTCAAAACAGGTACAAAATTCGGAGTAAAATAAGCCCTTAATTAAAAAAAGGAAAAGTTAAAAAAAAACAGATGGGGCAGACGAATTTGAACCCTCGCCCGCATGCTTCGTGCGCGTTATATTTCAATCATTAACCAGCGCACCCATGACTGCTTTTGTTCTATGGGTGCTTATTTATCTTTAATAACGTATTTATCATATTTTCTATATATATACAAAAAAAATTCTGGAGTCAGTGGGTGCTCGAGCACCCGATACTGACTATGTGGGTCCGCCCCTGCTAAGCCCCACACTTGAGTATCGAAATGTTTTGCTAGAGCCCCGCCCCGAGGTGAGTGCGAACAGAGTCTTTTAAAACACTATTGACACTCAATTTTGACCCTCCCCGATAAGTATTAATTCACAAGCTTCTTAACTCCCAAAACGATTTAGAATAATTAGTTTGATAAAATTCAAATACTTTTCAAAGTCATTTTAAGTGATCTTAGTCGATTTTCATAATTTATAAATAGTAAATATATTTCATATAATTTTATAGATATAATTGGTATATTTCATAAATATTTAAAAATCATCTAAAAATGATTTTATTTTAAATATTCTATTAAAATTAGTTTAGTTTAAATTATGGTTAATTTTAAAATTAATTGGTTTATAATTGAATTAATTATTTATTTTGTTAAGATTGAGAAGCTCCTAAATTAATTATATTAATTCATCTTATTTAGATTTTAGCCGAATTTGCAAATGAAATTCAATTTGGTTAAGTTTGTAATCTCAATTGGCCAATTTCAATCCAATTTGGCAAATTTAGTTTTTTCACTTAGCTATGTCAAAACCAACTTTGGGCCCTTTTCTTTAATTTTCAGCAGCCCAAGTTTAATTCCCAACCCACCACCTTTCCAATTCCAGCAATTTCCAGCAATAAGACCCAAAATCCAGCCCACATTTTCTCAACCCGACCCAACCTTTTTTCCCTCTCAAAAGAGACCCAATTCCAGTTCAATGTTACCAACCCATTCCAAACACCAACATCAGCAACGCGTCAACAGCGAGTACACGAAAAAACAAAGCAAATTCACAGCGTGAACAACATCTCAAAACAACGATCCAAATAGCAACCAAACGACGCTTCCTACGTTCACGATTTTTCACGGCGATACATGGTCCAATACACAAAAAAACAGCAATAGAGGGTAGTGTTGTGTCTCATTTGTCCTCTTCCTCCAACATCCTTTTCAATCGCAACAAAAAAGAACAACAAAAGCATATGCGGGATCGTCATTGCACCTTGGGATTGAGCTATATGGCACAGCGAGGACGATCGAATCGATCCGGAGCATCCATTTTCCCTTTCCTCTTTCAGAATGGGCCGAAAACTTCAGAAAAAGGGTGTCTTCCCTAAAATGGTGAAAGAGTTTTGACGTTTGAATTTGGGTGGGCCTCATTCCTACCCGTTTTTCACCCGTTTCCCCCAGAAAATTAACCCTAATTCTCATCTATGTAAGTCTACTCTTCTTCAGTAAAAAGTGTGGGAGAAAATTTGTTGGTAGAAAGAAGTGAGAAAAATACAAAAAGAAACTGAAATTCATCAAGCATAGGCAAGAAAAATCAAAGCAAAAGTTAGAATGATAGTGTTTATATCTTCGAGTTTCTGAATCTTCTGTTTGGAATTCGAGTTTCCGACGAGATTCCATTCGTAGTAAAGTCGCTACTCCCTGCTCGTTTTGTCTCGGTTCTGCTGCTCCAATAAAGGTAATCTTGCGTCCTCTTGTATTCCATTTCAATATGGTGTGTTGTATACTCAATAATTTGTTATAAGTTATGTTATTTAGTGTATTTGGTTCATCGTTTTAGCATTTCTGTGAATCCCGAGTCAGCTAGCATGAGTCAAATTTTAATAAAGTTTCTCTTGGTATTATATGGTAGTTGTTAATTAGATTTGTTGGCTCAATATCATGACTTGTGAGACTGGTTGGTTTCTGTTTTGTTTTTTTTGCTCGAAATGATTTCGTATTCATTTGGTTTCAAGTGTCAAACATATAGGCTATTTAGATAGATTTCTTCACCATTTTGGGTGTTACAACTTGTAGTATCATCTTAACAAGTCATTTTTGCCTATTTAAACATAATGTTCAATGTGTTTTCATGTTACTGTACCAATTAAGAGCTTTTGAAACTCATGGTGATTTCATTTTTCATTTAGGATAATTAGTCTAACTCTTTATCTTGTTTCTAATAGAATTGCAAATATTTTGGATTGATCCTTATATTATCATTGTTGAAATTCGCTAAGAGTCATGTTTTTCCCTTTTGTTTAAAACTATTTTTTCTCTTCTCTGTGAAGTCTTAATTTTGGGTTTAGATTTTGTTTGGTTACCTGAGTTGAATATGTTGCCTTTATTATTTTAATATATCTTTGGTTAAATCTTTGTCTTTGTGTTGCCAGTACCTGTAATATTGCTTTGCTCTCATGTATAGTAGCCATTAAAATTTGTTTGCTTGAGAATATAATATTAGATTTTTGCATAAGTTATTTTAATATTAGTCCAAATAGAATGTGTCTTACACGTGATTCAAAAATGTGCATTCTTCCTTATGTTTTCTTTTTCCAGTGAGCTTATTTCCAAGTCAATAAGTTTGTTGTCATTATAGGTGTTTGACTCTTGATTCTTAATATTGTGGTATAAAAATGTATTTCTTTTAGGTTTATCTACTTGATGCTCACTGTAACATTCTGAGACCAAGATTAATTATTATAAATGTGCTTTGACTATATTGAGCGTCTGTTTAGCTATTGACGGGCAATTGAGCTTGTCATTATCCCACATGCTTAGTTATTTTAGTGGAGTCTCGTTATGATTCGTTATTAATCCTTATATTTTTTTTCTCGAACAAACTTTTGATCCGAGTCCAATTTGGGAATCCCTCTTTCCTCGAATTATTCCGTTGGATCAAATCCAACAATTTCCTTTGAGTTGGCCACCACCTCAAAGGAGCAACGAAGATGAAATAGGGGTATAACTCAAATACACAGGGGAAAAGGCCAAAATTTGGCTTGCATACAGTAGTATACATCAAAATGCATACACATATTTCTGAAGGCAAATAAGCCTATAGCCCTTGAATATTTTTCAGCAGGTTCAGGCAGCAAAAGAAATGGGCCAAGGCCCAATGAAATAAGCACCAACAAATATTTTGATGAAAGTGGGCCAAAAACCCATCATTTTGGGCTCGACTTTAGCATTAGGACAGGTTCAGCATATTTGGAGTGTGGGGGCTTAAGTCCATTATTTGGACCAAAATTTTAGAGTTAGGACAGGTGGGCCAAAAGCCCAACATTAATTGAATTTGGGCAAGGAAGCCCAAGTCCAAAGATTTCTCTTCATTTAACTACTTATTTGTTTATTTGTATTTGACTAACAATTTATCTTCATCTTGGTTTGACTAAATTAATTTCCCAAAGATAGCCATTTTTTTTTATCATATTCAAATAAATAATATTTATTTTATTTTATATTTATCTTTATTTTATTATTTGTCTTGCAACTTGAATTATTCCCTATAGAATATTTCCCTTTAATTGTTCCCCTTAAAAAAATAGGTAAATAATAATTAAAAAAATGAATGAGTTCTTTTTTACTTGATAAAATTTTTAAAAGTTAGTTGAAAAGTCATTTTAGTCAAATCGCCGGTCAACCGCAAGTTAGCGGACATTCCGAGGGCCTAACATCTTCTCGAAATGTACATTAAACTCGAACCCTTTTCATTTTCAACTGATTTTATATGTTTAAGTCTTTTGAAAATCTTAAGTTTTTTCTTGATTTTTACTAAAAAAATTAAGTGGCGACTCTGTTTCTTTTGGAAATTCGATTTCTCTTAAATCATATGTTTAATCGATTTTTCCAAAACTTAGTCAATTTTCTTTTATTTAAATTTTCGAGTAAAACAGAAATGGCGACTCTGATGGGGACTTAATTAAGTTCTAACCATAAGATTTGACTTATTTGACTAATTGTTATTAATTGCTGAATTGTTTATATG